AAAGATAATAACAACTATTCAGCTTCCTAGCAAACCTGCCTGTTTGCTTTGGGTAGTCATCCCTTCCCTTCCTTGTTCTTTGCTGTGCTCTTTATCTGCTGAATGGCTAGTATTATTTAGTGCTTTCATGTAATTTAAACTTCTGGCCTAGGGCCAACCCTTAATAACCAATATTTCCATGGTAGATATGTCTCTCCCTTATAGACTTAGTCATTTATATCCATGCTGAATTCTTGACCTCCGGTGTCTGTTTCACTTTTGACTCCTACATTTACACATCTCTTTCCTTACAGCAGTTGATGTGGCTGCAACCACATCCCGATTCTTGAAACCAGCTTGGTTCTATCCCTGCTGAGGCCCCTTAGCATGCTGTCCCCAGTACAGTTTCCTGCTGTCTGCAAGGACAGAGAAAACTCACAAAACATCCAGCTACTGAAAGTGGAGCCAAGCCTCTTGAAACCAGCAAAGTAATGGGCCACCAACTCTCTTATTGTAGTCACATGATCTTTCGATTGATTTTCCTTTAGTCTTCAGCATTCTTCACACTGTCTTCCTTTATGAGCCTATTTTGCCCTTCATAACTTTGATCTGTCATTTATCAGTCTATGATTAGTTCCTAGTGGATGAAGTATCCACCTTTGTTCCAGGTAGACATAAGCAAGGAAGAGGGTTCTTGTGGTAAAACAGTTACCCTTACCCCTTACATCAGCAGAAGCCACTAGAAAGGATAACTTCCAAAGGAAACTTCAGGAAGTGAGCATGCCCCAAACATGTCTATACAATTAACTCCAGGAATCTGACTAAAAATTGATCAACTCAATGGCCATGCATGGATAGGTCAATAATACTAATAAAAACTAACTGCTGCAAAGTGACAGAGGTTTTGTTAAATATTCCAAGATAAGAGATTGGACCTAGTCAGGTGCAGGAGTTTCTCTAAGAAATGCATGCTAAAAAGAGTTAATACATTAGTGAAATTTAAAAAGACTGGAAAATGTGTATAAATTTAATTTGATGCCTCACTTAATACTAAAAAAATCTCCTGCAGGGACAGATGAGGCCAAACAAGGCATCTTGAATTTATTTGGAAAAACATTTCTGACTATTGGAAAGTATGCCCAGGGTGTTATATAGTTCTGTGAAAATATCATTAAAAAACTAATTAGAGAATCATAATTAGCATCGATTAAGTCTCCTTTGTTGGAAGAGCAGAAAAGCATATCAGATATGATTATGTAGAGATGATTATAGAAGCCAATGAGGCCAAGCAAATATGGAAAGGACAACCTTACGAAGATGTCAATTCTCCAAGCTCTCCATGTCCTTCAAGGACAAAAATCTCAGCTGCTGGGGGCAGGTGGAGAAGTCCCTTCCGTTTTCTCCAGGCTTATCTGGGAGAAGCTAAGCACTTGGTGAGGTAGCTGTTAGCAACAGATTGTGTGGCACAGGGGCAGTAAGAGGTGCTCAGCAAGCTCTATGACCATTACCTGGAGGGAAGAGCACCCAGGAAGTCAGGAACACCCAAGAATCTAAGTATTCCTACTGGAGGCTAAAAGTTCGATGCTTGAATTGCAGCCTGGTGATTGCTAGGGTGGACTTAGGCATACTGTCTAATCTTCATATTCCTGTTTACTTAGCTGTGAGGCATGAGATAATAATTCCTATTACACTGGGAAGTCAGAGTTGTCTGAGGTATACAGTATGTAAACAGCGAAGCACCTTGTCTGACGTGATTTACAACAAGTGCTGTTGTATTGGTAAAACATTTCCCAAATGAAAGAAGCGGGCAGAAAAGAGGATCTGGGGTGGAGTGTAACACACTTCGGTGTGTCTGGAAAGTAGTTATATTCCTCCTGGTATATGCTGATAAAACCTTCAGGTAAAATTTTATATTTATGAACCAAAGAACAAGTGTTTGGAGCCAGAGTTCTTTGTAATAAGAAAGTCAGGGCAATTAATGGGATATCTCTGTCTGTCAGTCTATCTGTCTCTGTCTCTCTGCAATTGGCAAAAAAAGAAAACATTGCTGTACTTTCCAAGTCTTCACTTCAGGCACACTTTCTTGTCATTGTCTACAAGTTCTCAAGGACCCTTTAAGTTCTCCTCTTTCAGCACAGAAGTAACACTGAACTTTGCCCTCCTTGTCCCCTGGTGTGGTGTTTAGATTATCCGTAATCAAAGGCCAAGGGCAGAGTTTAAGCATCTCATGGACTCTGTTACAAATCTCTGCATCCCTATCCCTCCACCTTCTTACCTCTGTCAGAAAGTCCAAAATATTAGCCCAGGGGCTCTGTTCTTTAATGTTTAGTGAAAACTTTTCACTAAATTTCTGTTCTAATGTTCTGCTGCTATTGGCCCCAGATCTAATTTCTCTTAAAGGATCAAGATGAGCTTTGAGGAATATTTATATTTCAGATATCATAAGCAAAACTGTTTGACTGAAACTGTAAATGACATTATGATTTAATGAACCCTCAACAACTTAAGGCATATTCCATGAGAATATTTTCCTGTATTCTGTCATAACATTTTCATACTCCAGGAATTTAATATGTGTGTAGTCATTTCTAACACATAGTCTATATACATATTTTCTTAAACACCCATAAAATATTCTCTATAGTATATTAAATATCACGTGCTCAATCTAGGATCGCTGATTGCATTTGGTTGCTATGGCAAAGGTACATTTATTTTTCATTTTTATTTTGTTAATAACTTTTTATTTTGGGTCTTGTTCCCTTTGTCCTGGACTCCCTCCACCCTCCCCAGTCAGATCCTCTTCTCTATTTTTTTCCGTTTCTCCTTCTGTCGCCTCCTCTGGAGTCCCTTTCCCACCCCTCCTGCCACGGTCCCTTTTTACTTCCCTGATTTCCATGGTTACTCACATTTAAAAATTAGAAACTAAAAACCACAAATAAGAGAAAACATGTGGTATTTGTCTTTCTGGGTCTGGGTTCCTTCTCTCAATATAATAATTTCTAGTTTCAACCATTTACCTCAAGATTCCATGATTTCGTTTTTCTTTACAGATGAATAGAATCCCATTGTGTACATGTGTCACATTTTCATGATTCCTTTGTCAGTTGAGGGACATTTAGACTGTTTCCATTTCCTAACTACTGTTACTGGAGCAGCAGTAAACACATGGAGCGAGTATCTGTGGAGGAGGATGCTGAGTCTTTTGAGCATTTGCTAAGGAGTATCATAGCTGAGTCGGGTGATTGTTTGTTTTTTGTTTTTTGTTTTTTAGATTTTTGAAAATTCTTTACATTGATTTCCAGAGTAGCTAGTTTACAGTCCCACCAAGCCTAAATGATAGTCTCCAGGACTTGTCATTCAGTTGTTTTCTTGATCTTAGCCCTTCTCATTGTGGTAAGATGAAATCTCAAAGTGGTTTTCATTTGTGTTTCCCTAGCAGTGAAGGATGCTGAGCTGAGCACTCTTTGAGATATTTTTTAGACAATTTTATTTCTTCTTTTGAGTAATCTCTCTCAGGTCCATGTCCCCCTCCCTTTTTAAAATTGGGTTTCTTTTTATTTCTTGACTCTTTTTGATTTTTGAGCTCTTTATGTATTCTGAATATTGATTCTGTATCAGATGTATAATTGGCAACGATTCAACCACTCAGTGGGTTTCCTCTTCACTCAATTGACTGATTGTTTCCTTTGCTGTCTAGAAGGTTTTTTATTTTTATGAGGTCTGCAAGGGTATAGTTGAAAGCTTTCCTGTGTCCCAGCCTGCTGGCAGTTGGGACAAATCTCTCCCACTTGTGTCTCCCAAGTAAACACACAGAGATTTATATTAATTATAGCTGCTTGGCCATTAGCTCAGGTTTGTTACTGACTAGCTCTTACACTTAAATTAACCCATAATTCTTATCTATGTTTAGCCACGTGGCTTGGTAGGTTTTCTCAGTTCTGCCTTGTCATCTTGCTTCCTCTATGTCTGGCTGACGACTCCTGACTCAGCCTTCCTCTTCCCAGAATTCTCCTCATCTGCTTGCCCCACCTATACTTCCTGCCTGGTTACTGGCCAGTCAGCATTTTATTTATCAACCAGAGCAACACATATTCACAGTCTACAGACTAACATCCCATAGCACAAGGGTACTTTTAAAACTCCTTGAAAGATTGGATGAACCTTTCTTTCTCCTGATTTTCTATTGAAAACAGTGAGGTAGAAACTCACTCTGCTCACACACAAATGTTATTATAAAGTCTGTAATGTTCCAGAAGGGTTCAGTTATCTGAGACTATAAGACCAAGATTACTTTGAGGTGAAAGATTTTAAATTAATAGATCTTCAGAGACATTCTAACTAGGCTGTAAAAGGACAAATAGAACTCTGACACCAGAGGGCCTCATCATCTCCCAAGAGTCCTTTCTTTCTGTGGGTGACAGAGTTGTTTGTGATAAATCCAGCCAAATGTCATATGACTGTCAAGTGGATCTCTATAAAGAACTAATATTTTCTGTCAAACACAATAGCTTGATCATGAAAATAACCAAAACTTATTAGTATTCTCACAAAATATAAAATGATGCATGCTAATTCATACTGTGAAAAAAGTCAATTAACTATGGTTTATAGTGTCCCTGGGGGTGTCGACACTTTATTCTTCTCTTTGATCATTCAAAGAGTGCTATGATTATTTCCACCATTTTATCACTGTAAGTTGTAATGAAGTATTTGTTTTCCCAATCTGGCTGAAGGTCTATGAGGGAAATGCTGGGCATCCCAATATACTCAAACTCATCACAGATGAGATCAACATGACACTGTAGACATGCTATTTACACTATTGTTCAATTATCTTATCAAATAAAATTTTTGTTGATTGACAGACTATTTCTAAAGTGACACAGTTCTAAGAACAGTTCTAGGGATTGTTGGTTTCTCTGCAGCCTCCTCTGATATAAAACGTAGAAATCAGAAGAGTATTGCTTTCTTGCTTTTCTTTTTTTCTTGACCTGACCCTCCCCTTTTGTACACTGCAGGTCTTATCTCGGTTGCTTTCAGTCCCAGAGTCACCTCAGAACGAATAGAAGAATGAGGCCACTTGGATTTGGATTGATACAGTGAGCTTTTTGATTGTTAAATGTACGATTTCACCAAAATCAATGATGCCTTTTCCTTTTTCTCCTACCTGTGGCTAATAGAGACCGTGACAAACAAAGCACAAGGTGACATTTTCTCCCTTGGACTTTGAGTTAATAGCTTACCTGTAGAACACAGCAGGCAATGGCAGCTATGTGGCCAATCTTGCAAGATGGAGCTGTAATTTCCTGGTATAGTCTGGTTCACAGCCCCCATTTCATTTTCCCTTTCTTCCTGCCTCTCTCTCACCATTGTTTCCCTGACATTTCAAGGAGCTTTTCTGGGTTGTACCTTTGGTAAGATGGAATACCAAAAAAAAACACAGGACAAGTCGATGAAGATTGCCTTCATCTTACTTGATGATCTTGGACTGAAGTTAGTACGTTTTAGTTAGTTACATTAAAATATCATGTAATTTTATAGCAAATAAGGATACATTTGTACAATGAAAATTTTACACGATTTTGAAAGATAGCGAGTTTTAGTAAATACATTTTTCTTTAAAATTAATCTATTCTTTGTTATTTAGTAGTTCAATCATAGGGAAAATTAGCATAGTTATAGATTTATTGGTCCAAATCTATATAAAATTCAACTTTTAAATGCCAAGTTTTTTTGTGGGAGTTTTTGTTAACACACACACACACACACACACACACACACACACACACACACACACACACACACACGTGTATCAGCAATTAGAATCAGTTAAAATAAGACTTCCCACTTCCCATAACGTAGTCTGGGTTTCCCCAGTAAGCAGATTGTGAAATGAAGTATATTTGTAAATCTATCTTTCTTAATTTAATTCTCTGCAGACTTTTGCATTTATGGGCTTTAGACCCAGTGACCTATGCAAGACCACAAAGCCAACAGGGCTGTATTTCCCCAGGCTGTAGATGACACAGGTTCTCAGGGAAGGCTTGTGACTGGAGAAGAAATGATTGACAGTCTAGGGAGAATTGTGGCTTAGCATAGCATGTCCCAGCGTTATTGCTTTGGAGAACATAAAAAACAATTATGTAAATACAAAAATTCTTACATAATTTTTTTAAAAATTCAGCTTTACAAATTAAAGTTTTTCTCATTTCACTGGAAAGACAGTGGAGTTTAGGTACAGTATTTTTTGAAAGCAAGAAGAAATTTCCTTCCAGTTTGAACTTCCAAATAGCTTCCTACTGACTCTACACTGGTAAGGGCATGCTTCCATTATGTTATGATGGTGTTCTTGTTCAGTGTGTTTGGAAGGCATCGAGTTATGCTTCATTATGCATCGTGGGTTTGAAGTGTCTTTTTTTTTTCCATCCTGAGTGGCCAAATAGCATCCAAAGAGACTCCAAAGTTAACATAAACTATGTGGCCTAATGTTCTAAATTTCGGTATGTGATTACAGAGTGAAATGTTTCTTTTTTCCTCACCGTTACAGAACCACGGAACAGAAAAGTCTAAGAAGCCCCTGGATGCACAAGTCGGCCATGTGTAGCTGAATTGGAGACTGTCCTGGCCTAGCCTCATCTCATCTGCCCGTGTTGGGCACTGAGCTAGCTGTGCATGCCACCCTCCAGTTTTTGGAAAGAGGAACAAGGCACCTTTGTGTACTGTGGTTTTCTTTTCTTTTCTTTTTTTTTTTTTCTGCTCCCAGACTCCTTTCACAGCTCTCTGGGCAACGCTCCCATATGTCCTTGAATTGATGCTGGTCCAGTCACACATCACACGATGGCTCCGGTTTTCTAGTTCACCACTGAGCTCTCTCTCTCTCCAGCAGCATGCGGCTCACTTGCCAGGTTCATTGCATTTGTCTCATATCCTAAGCATCAGGCTAGTTCCTGCTCTCTTTTTACTACCAGACAAATTCCCTTGGACAATCCCACCCTCCCAGGACACATCCTTTGTTCCCATTGTCAAAGAGAGGTCACCATGAGTCACTCCTCCCCTTTTGGACTATTTGATTTCATTTTCTGTCTCCTTGGAAAGGGGACTTGATGTGACATAACCACCCTTTTGAATTTCTCCCTCTTTGTAAACCACTGTTGAGGTCATTCTGCCCACTCCTGTTCTCCTGCCCACATGCTCAAGAGAGCCTCCCTTTTACTCAGAGGCTGCTAAAAGCACCAGCTGCCTGATGTTATGCTTACTTCACTGGGGAAGCCAGCACTGCCATTAAGTGGAAATTGAAGTTGTTCCCTAACTCCACTTAACAGTAGTTTGGATCAAGAGTATGGTAGACTCATAAGGACGAGCAGCACTGTGTTTCTTACTTCAGGTCGTGCTTTGCATTGGGACCCTGAGTAAAAAGATCAAAGTACCTTCTCACTGTCTTTCGTCCTACCATCAATGAAGACTGAATGTGGGTTAGAAAACTTCTAGTTTGGGATAGTTAGAATAAGAACCTGAAAACTAAAATGTAAGTTAACCAAATAGCAATCTTAGAGAAGTCATGAAATACTGGATCTCAGCTATTTTCATTTTCTTTTTCTCCCTACTACTGTAACACTAGGGAAAAAATCAAATGAAAAACATTAGAACAGCCTTTAAGTCTGTGAAAGCGCTAATGGCATCATCATAATGAGAGAATCCAAAAATGATTATCAATATTACCACATTTATTAATATCTATCCATTATCTATTTATCCATTATCTATCATCTATCTATCATCCATCTATCTATCTATCTATCTATCTATCTATCTATCTATCTATCTATCATCTGTTTATGTAAATGTGGATACATGCACACATGTGTACATGTGTACAATGTGTGTGGAAAGCAGAGGTCAACCTGTAGAGTTTTTCCACAGAGTGACTGGCCAGCATATTTCTCATTGGGATTTAGGGCTCCCTGACTCAGCAAGGCTGTCTGGCCAGTGATCCTCAGGTATCCTCCGGTCTCTGTGTTCCCAGCACTAAGACTGCCATAGTGTGCCATCAGGTGTAGCTTTTTATAAGCAAGTGCTAGAAACTGAACCCATGCTTGCCCTGCCAGTGTTTTACACACTGAGCCATCTCCCCATCCCAAGATTATCCCTCTCTTTAACTTTACATGCTTATGATTGTATTATTGTTTCTCTTTACATGGAAAGGAAACTGAGGCTCAGGTAGATTAAATAATTTGTCTAAGATCACACAACTAAGTGACTTAGCCAAAATGAGAAGCTAGATATATTTGATTTGTTTTAAATCTGTTTTATCTGCTATACCAGGATGAATCTTCTTAGCCCCAAATATTTTGAGACTGCATCAACCAGGCTTTATACAGATAAAGTGAAATTGAGAACATTTTCTTACAAATTGGGACACCATTTTTCACCTAAAGCCTAATTTCTCTTGTTAGTTTCCTTTTCTTTCTTTTTATTTTTGGCTTGTGCAGATGTTGGCCATGTCTTTGTACATAGCTGGTCAATTGACCAACTAATCACTGCAGTAAATTGTAAGCATCACTTAGGCAGCTGTGGCTGCTGCGCTTAGCCCAGCAACTCTGGGCGGTTGTGAACTGTCTTGATGGATAGTCACTGCAAGCTGAGAGATCTGCTCACCTTCGCTGTTAGACTGACTCCTTGTCTTGGTGTAACTTTTAGTGTCAAATTCTAAATATAGAGTACAGTTATACTTAATTCATGCTTTCCAAAGAGTAACAGCAATTATTAACTCACTGTGTTGACTTGCCTGGTCCACCGCTAAGAGGAAGCAAGGACACTAATAGCAACCTGGACAGTAGGCTTACATCACCAGTGCCTTCTACATGAAGAAAGAACATCACCTTTGTTTCTTTTTAAATTTTCTTTCCTTTTCCTTGCTCTTCTTCCTTCCCTTCTATTTCTTTTTTTTTTTAAAGCTTAGATTTACTAAGAAAAGGTGTGTTTTTAAAGATTCTTTGTTTTTATTTGTATGAGTGTTTTGTCTGGATGTATATAAACACATAGCATAGACAAAAAGAGGGTGTCAGATCCCCTGGAACTGAACATAACCATCTGGTTATGAACCACTGAGCTATCTCTCTGGCCTCAAGAAAAGGTACTGATTTAAGACAAAAGGTCAAAAGAAACAAAGGGGAGTCCAGGTGTAGGGACCTGCCCCACCAGGAATTTAGGTCACCTGTGAAGAGGTGGCCTGGAACCGAAGAAAGGTAAGTGCGCTGGCCCGTTCCCCAGCCTCCCTCTTACCAGGAGACAATCAGACACAGCGGGGAGTCAAGTCAAACAAGAACTCCTTTGTTGATAGGCAGTAAGCCTCTTTTATACCAGAAAACCTCAGGACCCTAGGAGGGGGTGAAGGAACCAACCAATCATTTTAAAGGTCACCCTATTTACAAGTTGTTTATGCCCTGACATCATCTCATGTTTTTGGCATAAACACCTTGAGCTAACTTCCTTCCTCACCATTCGTCTCTAATCTCCACACAAACAACCCAAGCTAACTTCCTCTTAGCCATCCTTTGTATTTATTCTCTGCACAAACAGCTTAAACTAACTTCCTCTGGTACCATTTGTATCCACTCTCTGCGTAAACAGCTTAAAGCTTAAGCTCTGTTTATCTAAATTTCTCTCGGCACCCTCTTTGCGCCCATGTATGCCCCACATCCAAGGATAATAGTATACATTAAAGAGGAAGTACAGGCTTCTGAAAGAGGCTTTGACATTCATCTATTCTTATCTATAGTTCCTGAATTCTGGGGATTCTTTCTTTCTTTCTTTCTTCCTTCCTTCCTTCCTTTCTTCCTTCCTTCCTTCCTTCCTTCCTTCCTTCCTTCCTTCCTCCCTCCCTCCCTCCCTTTTTCCCTCCCTCCTTCTCTCTTGCTTTCCTCTCTTGGTCATTTTCTCTTCCCATGTCAGACTGTGAAAATTCAGCAATATTGAAACACGTGAAGAACAGGAAAATGGGCAGGTGTGAAGAGGAAGCTTTCTTGTTGGTTTCCACATGGATACTCTCCCCTGTGAACCTTATGTTAGAACAGGCTGTATAGAACATCTTCAGCTACAGTTTCGTCTTCTAGATGAACCAAAGCTCTACTTTTGTCTTAGTTGCTCTCACATGCCAGCAGTTTCATATCATTCTCTAAGAGAGAGCAGATCTCTACTGTGTGACCTCCCCGGGTCAGTTTCCAACCAACAGCTTCTCCCATCTCATGCTAGTGGCATGCAATTCATCAGGACATTTTCCTTATAGTGCAGGTGTCTTTAGTTGCAAAAAGTAAATAGCTTAACACATCAAGTAAAACAGTATTAAAATTCATCTGGTCAGCAAAAGAAGCAATAGACAGTCCTAATGTCTTCTTTTCTGAGTTGCAAACTCAAATTAACTTTAACATGTATTTTCTTGTATTTCATTGTTCTTGGTTTATATTGCAAATGCCTCCCTAAGCTTTTCCTCAGGTGTCCCTCTAGAAGTAGCTCAGTAGGATTGTCTGATTTATTTTCATGTAATTTTTCTGTTTTTTAATCCATGTCTATAGATGAAAGTTCAATCATGAGAAAATTTGTGAGTGGAACAAATATGATAGTGTTTAATACCAGATCTCAGTTTTCTTTTGGTCTAATTTCCATCATGTTGGCTCTTCTGACTTGTGTAGTTAAAAGACTGCTAGCCATTCCATTATACCGCCTTTTCTATAACTATTTACTTCTCTTCCTCCTCTAAATCTAATGTGCTTATATTCTGCTAAATTAAAAAACAATTTATTTTCTTGATTTTAGCTGGCTTTGATTTGTTTGCCTTAATTCTATGCCAGATTCTCTCTTGTATAAATATGTCATACCCAAGAGAAATTTGTGTTAAAATTCAATTATTCAGTTTGTATCAAAGAAGAAATAAAATGGTTATTAAAAAAAAACACCTCTCCTGTGTGACAACTTACATGTAAGGTGGGATGTTTCAGCATGTGCACTGAGATTTATCCATATATCTGTTTCTAGTAATCAAAGAACAGCAAAATGTTTCTGGGTGACTCAGTGGAAAGAGTACCTAAAATCTCCGCTTAATGGTAAGGAGAGCTCTTTCAGTAAAAAGTCAGGCATGTGTGAATGAATCAGAACTAACTCTGAATACATAAACAGGGTTAGGGAAGAGAACACCGAGTTGAACTTCCAAGAAAATCCTATGGAGAAAATATGTGATGCATTATAGATCCCATAGACCTGCTTTGGAATCACAGAATCAAGCAGCCTTACAGGTAGTAAGCTGCTTAGAGAGCAGCTATTTAGACTTCTCATTTTACTGATTGGGAAAACTGAACTCAGAGAGACGAAATGGCCTTTTGAAGACTACCCATTGCACATCAATGTTCAGATGGATATTTCCTGAGTGTCTTATTCATAGTCTACATATCTCACTGAGGCCTAGAGCTTTACCTCAGTTCCATCAATTAGGTTCATTTAAGCACCATCTTATGGCTTCAAAGATTTTGTCAGTTAAGTCTTTAGAGCTAAATTACCCAACACGCAGTCTAGATCAAGATCTTTTTCACAAAACCTTATACTCTAGATGGTAAAATGACCCACTGTACCTCAAGAGATGATTATAGAATATAAATTTATATGGATTCATGGAAGTATGTGTTAGAATTGGGTTCCCTGAAAGCAGATTCTGAGACAAAATTTTGTGTGGGAATAATTTCTTTTAGAGGTAATCCAAGAAAGTGCTGGCTGAGGAGTGGGGCTATGAGCTGAGGAAAAGTACTGTATCACTACAGGTACCCAGAGCTCACCACCGGATATGGACCTCTCCTGTAGGTAGTGTGGGATAAGCCTCAGAGTTCTGCTCAAAAGTTACCAATGCCTCTCTGCAATCAAGTGTCTCCCAGGTAGCCTTTTGGGTCTGCCCCAAGAAAGGCATCTCTCTGGTTCCTGTGAACTTCCAAGAAAAGCACGCGGTCAGAGACAGGAGGATGATTTCAGGAAGAAACCATCGGCTCTAACCGGTATGGTAAATGTTGAGGGAACATGTGTGAGCCATGGGATACTGTCATCGCCACAGGGAACTAGACAGTGATGGGAACAGGAATAAAGCACACAAACTCAAAGTGAGGTTGCTGTAATGTAATCTGTGGCAGTGGTTCTCAACCTTCCTGATGCAGCAACCCTTCAAAACAGTTCCTCATGGTGTGGTGACCCCAACCATAAAATCCTTTGTTGCTACTTCATAACTAATTTTGCTACAGTTATGAATCATAATGTAAGTATCAGTTTTCCAGGGGTCTTAGGTGACTGCTGTGGAAGAGTCATTTGTGACAGGGTCATTTGACACCCCAAGAGGTCATGACCCACAGATTGAGAACCACGGTCTATGGAAACGGCTCGTGTTAAAGGTAGAGATTATATAGATTTCCTTTGATATATTCCCTAACATGGAAGCTTCCATTACCTTCCCCATGAATTCTTTTGGGTTACCCAAATATTCATAACAAAATTTAGGCAAGAATTTTGTTCAAAGATTCTTGATTTAGATACCCACTAGGTCTGAGGAATGAAGGGCCAGGAGAGGCATTGTTGAAATCTGTTATTTGGATTTTCATCACTGTGACAAAGTACCTCAGCAAGACAATTTAAGGAGGGAATATATATTTTGGCTCATGATTGGGATAGATGTTTCTATCCATCATGGTAGGGAGGCTATGGAAGAGCAGAGTAGTTGACTTCCTGTGCCCAGGATATGGGTGGGGGTGGGGGGTGGAGATTGTGGGAAGTGGAAAAAGCCTGCCTTTGCAAGCTTTCTCTTTTCCTCTTTTATTCCATCTTGACGTTCATCTAGAGGATAGCACTACCCAACTCACATTCAGAGATGGTTTCCCTTTCAGTTACTTTTATCCTGCCACCCCCCATAGGCATTCCTAGAAGTATTCTTTACTGATATCATGAGGACTCTGGAGTTCATCAAGTTGTCAATCAAGATCAGCCACCACAGGAGCCCACAGGCGATGTCTACAGAGAATGAGGACCAATCATTGTGTATCTCAGTGATAGCCTCATAGTTGTTCTACTAAAAATAAGCTGACATATCTATTACTGGCTTGAGTTGGAATTAACAATACAATATTATAATTTTACAAAATATGATAAAAATAAATATCTAAAGAAACATTTTGTCAGGGTTGTATTTTTAAAACTATATTTACCTTCTGGTGGAGATTTAAAGGGATCATGAATATAAAGAGGTAGCCAATGAATAGGACCCATTTAAGTCTTAAAGCCCTAATATATCCTCTAACAGCTACAAAAGTCAGCAGAAAGCCTAACTCAAGCCATATAAATTCTCTACTTTGCATGACTGTAGGCTAGAATGCAGCACATAATTCAATTTCCTATAAGCAGAAAAATAAATATAAATTTTCAATGAAATTATGTTTGGACTTCTCATCCCAGGATTTCTGGGGAACAAAGTACAAAAATTGCAGAAAAGAGAATAGAGAGAATTTTAGGGACACATGTATGGAGAGGTGAGAGTAGAACGGAGGCAAATTTTTGAATACATAAGGTACATAAAAATAGCAATAATAAAGATGAGGCAAAAATCTTTCATTATTTGTCCCAACATTAAAAAAAATCACTCCTCTTTGATAAAGAAGGAGTGATTATCTAGGACACTATGTTATTCCTGGCTACTAAATGCAAGTGTAGAAACAGACATCATTTATACTAAGAAGAAAACAGAATTTTATGGAAACATTATACCTGATGAAAATTATTTCCAACACAACTGAAAACCAGAACACTGTTATATAAGCCCACACAGTAAATTAGAGATAGTCTAATAAATATTTGACGAGATGGAAAAGATAATATGAATAACTTTGGTAGAAGTAGTGCGTATCAATAAAAGGAGGAACATAGTGTTCTTGTCTCTTTGGCATGGAAAGGTACCCTACAGGCTTCCAAAAGAGAAAAGTAAACATCAACCCAGCCACAAAAACTTTCCCCTACAATCCATCCTGCCTGCAAAATATACTGGGGCAACAGTGGCATCACACTTTGGGAGTAGCCAACTAATGTCTGATTTGACGTAAGGCCCATTTCATGAGAGGGAACCCATACCTGGCACTGATTGGGTAACCAAGAACCAAAGACTAGATATCCCAGAGACCTAGGTAAAACTAAACATGACTTGACTAAACAAAACAAAAGAAAACAACAACAACAAAAACAAAAAATGATTCCTAGTAAGATTCTGCTGATTCGATAGATCAATGTATCATCCAGTCATCAGAGAGGCTTCCTCTAGCAGCAGATGGGAATGGATGCAGAGACTCACAGCCACATACTATGCAGAAAGAGAGAGTCTAAGTGGTGCTCTCCATCAAATCCCTCCCCTTAGAGAACCTTACAGAAGAGGAAGTGGAAAGAATGTAAGAGCCAGGAGGGATGAAGGACACCAGGAGAACAAGGCTCTCTCTGGATCAATTAAGCAAGGTGTATAAGAACTCACAGATACTGAAGTGCCTGTATGGATCTACACTGGGTCGTCTGAATACATATTATAGCTATTAGCTTAGTATTTTTATTAGACTCCTGACTATGACAATGAATGGGTCTCTGATTATTACCTGGTCTTGGGACTCTTTTCCTTCTGCTGGGTTGTCCAACTTTAATGTGAAAGTTTTTGCTTCATCTTATTATATTTTATTTTGTCATGTTTGGTTGTTATCTCTTAGAAGCCTGTTTTTTTATTTCTAATGAGAGACAGAAGGGGAGGGAATCCTGAGGGGAGGGAAGGTGGTGATGAACTGGGAGTAGTGGAGGGAGGGGAACTATAATAAGGATATATTGTATGAGAAGAGAACCTATTTTAAATTTTAAAAAGGAAGAAATGAAATGGCTATTTGTTTATTTCATTCAGGAAAGAAATATAAGAGATTAAATTATAAACGACTCAATAAAGACTAAAACTAAAAGCTTAGATGGGTCAAAGAAAAGCAGAGAAACAGCCAAAAGAAGCGAAATTTGATGGAGAAAGAAATTCTTAAAAGCACCAGAAAAAAGTGTTTGTAATGGAAAAGAGGCCAACAGTCAACATTTGAATAACCGCTCTCCAAAGGAGAAACACAAAACAAAGAAAGAGAACAAATATTTGAAATAAGCTGTGGAAGTCCTACAGAAGTGAAAGGTAACTTGCCTCTGTGTATCGGAAGCCTGTGGGGAACTTGGAAACGTTGACACAGAATGAGCAAGTATGAGGTTTATCTCAGTTAAACTTTTTCAGTTTAAAATCTGAAAACTTCCAAGTGTCGTCCAACAGAATGGTGACTTCCAAAAGCAGCAGCAAGGCAGCAGTTTCAGAACTCAAGGCAAGAATGTAAAAAAACCCATGAATTTTTTATGTAGCCAAGATGTCCTTGAAATACCAAGACTAAAAGAAAAAGAAAGAAGAAAACATTGAGTACAGACATGAGGAACTCTGAGCAAGTGCTGATAAAGCATCCACGTAATATGATGCCAACCACTTATAACATGAAATGCCAGCTGTTATCTGACATATCAGCCATGTTCATATGTGTGACTATTTAGTAATTTATTAAATGAACATTTACATTCAATTGGGCAGAAAGAGCAAGATCTAATAAAATGGACATATCCAAACCAAAGTGAGCTTAATGTGGGGGAAAAGGAACAGAAAACCACAACAGAAGGAAGAATCAATGGGAACATGGGGGCAAGACACTGAGATTCCTACCAGAGACCCGCCATATCAATGTATCACAAGGAAATAAAAGATGCACTCAACATTTTACCAAATAATTCATCTGTATTGTATTCAAATTTTATGATGATATTAAGGTAATAAACATTAACAAAGCTAGAAATATT